CATCGTCAGAGGCCATGGGGCCTGGCTTTAGCCTTTCCCTGTAGTATATCCTCTCTGCTTTCTTTTTTTTTTTTTTTTTTTGAGACAGAGTCTCACTCTCTTGCCTGGGGTGAGTGCCGTGGCGTCAGCCTAGCTCACAGCAACCTCAAACTCCTGGGCTCAAGCGATCCTCCTGCCTCAGCCTCCTGGGTAGCTGGGACCACAGGCACGCGCCACCATGCCCGGCTAATTTTTTCTACATATATTTTTAGCTGTCCAATTAATTTCTTTCCATTTTTTGGGAGAGACGGGGTCTCGCTCTTGCTCAGGCTGGTCTCGAACTCCTGAGCTCAGAACGATCCGCCCGCCTCGGCCTCCCAGAGTGCTAGGATTACAGGCGTGAGCCACGGCGCCCGGCCTCCTCTCTGCTTTTTTAGCAGTTTAGTTTGGTTTTTTCTCCCAGGTGGAAACAGTATTGTATCAGTAGTCATATTCTTTATGAAAAACTCAGACAATAACGTAGAAACTTAAAGCGTAGATAATTTAGACTTTTCAGATGCCAATTAAAGTTGTTAAAATTTACTGAGAAAGAAAATTAACCTGTAGACTGAGAGTTACTTGATAGACTTTTGATTTGTGATGATTAATAAGCAGTTAATAAGACATCTAAAGTTGAGAGGCAGTAGTTGCCTCTCTACAAGGATAATGCAGAGTGCAGATGAGGGTAGAATCTCCTATGATTGGAGGGAACCAGAGAATGCTGGACTGATTTGGTTTATTTATTCAGGAAAGTAATCATTCTACCCCAACTTCTGTAAAAAAATTATGTTAATCTTAAGTCTTAAAAGTTATTCTTTTCTATTTTTAAAGTTACTTTTTCCATTTTTAAAGTGGACGTAAAAAGTCACCCAGTCTCCTTCCCCAATAACTACTATAATTTGTGTTTTTTAGATGTAGATATAATTTTTCATAATCGTATTTGGTGTTTAACATTGTGTACCCTATTTTTTACTTAGCGTTATTTTGTGAACATTTTTCTGTTGATAATCTTCTCAATTAGACTTTAAAAAGTCTAATAGACTTTTTTTTTTTTTTTTT